GACCGCAGATACTTAGATCGGGTTAAGCAAGACCCCTGGAAAGCCTAACGCTGTTTCAAGAACACAGCCTACATCTGCCAAGACCATCGGGTTTCAGCCGTTAGGGTATTTTAAGCAGTAACGTAGGTTCGTGAACCAGGCTTTAGCCTGATCTTCAGCTCATGTCACACAGATCAACCAACCAACGCTACTTCATGCTACTGCCATCAGAAATGGAATTAACTGTCAAATAGCTGTGTAAATTACCTGCCGAGCTGCCAGCAGCATTTCCTTAGTGATCTGTAAGCAATTATATATATTAGACTGTACAGACACTGTTTTCATTTGTTCCTTACCAGTCCTTTAAAATATTCATATTTCTTAACAAAAAAAGAAGACGACACGCAGCATATTTGAAATGAGATGTGTAATGTTACTTGGATTTTAGCTGAAGGAAGTCAACGACAGATGGAAAACTTCAAAAGTAAAAATACAATCTATGTGTAAGCACCATCCAAAAAAAAACCAAAACCAAAAAAAACCCACCACCAAACCAAACCCACCCAAAATCAACCCAGAACAGCAAAAACCCCACCTCCACCCCATCTGAAATCAGGAAATTTGAGCTAAGTACTTCTCACAGACATTGCCTGTTGCACCTCCAAGCCCGTCCCGCCAAGGAAGCCCCTCGCTGATTATCCTTCCGTGAAATTTATAAATTGACTTTGCAACGTAATGAACTAAATGCTCCAACTTTAATATTTTGCATTCATACCAAAAACAGTTAACAGTTTTTACAAATAGTGTTATTTACTAAAACAATTCTTGTACAACAGTGCCGTATATCTAAATATATACATATCCCAACATCAAAGGGAGCATCAAAACAAACCAACCAACCCCAAAATGCACTTCGCTACCGTGTTCACTTCATTAAAACCAAAGCAGACTGCAGCAGGCTTCTTCCCTTTTTCATGACAAAGACAAAAATCGTTTGGATTTCCAGAAGCACATGCAGGATAGAAGAACGCAAACTCTGCCCACCTGTTTGCCAAGGCAGCAGCATGAAAAGTGAACTTTAGATCTGCAATTTACAAAGTAGCAAATGGAATGTTTTTTTAAACACAAGCACCCTGACTGAAGAAACCAGGCTTCAAAAACATAGGTGTTTTTTTTACACATCCAAGCAAGAAGCTCAAACGTCAAGGCCTTCCCATGTTGTAGGGTGGGGCCGGACAGTATGCACGCGGAGGGTAATCACGGCAGCTGACAGGGAGTGTCTGCGGTGTGGAGTTGGTCAGCCTCACTAAGGCTGAATAAGAGAGTAAAAAATGATTCTGCCTGCTGTTAGCAATGGCAGGGTTTGCAGCAATGGAGGCTTTTGTCACTTTACCTTTTTCTTTTTCAAAAAATATCTGCTCCCGATTTTTAACTGGAAAAATTATGCTCCCTTACTCGTCAAAACAGACACATGCGTCTCCTCCAACAGAAGCTGCAGCTATGTAATTCCAAGTGCCACTGCAGCTGCTGTAATTAGAGATGTCCTTTCCCATTCTGCCTGTGAAACCCAGCAGACAAGGAACACGGTAAGACCTGCACATGTAAAGGCTGCACAGGTATCTTTGAAATATGAGTGAAAAATAAGGTAAGTGATGTTAGAGAAGATAACGAAATGTTGGAGAATGAGGTATTAAGCAGTTCTCCAGTGTATATCTGATGTTCCTGCCATCCAGATGAAATCAGAGAACTGTTTAGAACTGCAGCCTAAATTTGATCAGCAAAATATGTAGTGCTATTAGAAGCAATTTTATCTCCTTTGTTACATTTAGGCGTTTGCAATCTGGCAGAATACTCTGAGTTCTGGTTACTCAAATCCATTTCCGTTCCACCCCCCACTCAAAATTCATGAACAGTAACTGTAGAGGGAGGGCAATATGCTGCTCCACACCCCTTGAGAAGCATGCAGTAATTCCTGCATTCTGTTCGGTCTTACTGTTGCTTTACTGCTGTCTGTGTGTACCTTGGCCAGTGACATTAAATACTCCTCCACACAGGTACTGGACACTGAACAGAGATTGGGTAAACACGTTGCAACCGTTCCTGCAACCGCGCACTCTGGGACGTACTGCCACGGCACGGGTGCAGCACATTTCAACAGGCTGCCTCAGTGATTTTCCTGGGATGCTTCACAGTAAGCGTTAGCATCCTGCTTACGCCCGCAGAGATCGAGATGATACACATGGGTAAACAAGCTTTGTCTATAGAGGCGAAATGCACAGAAGGCACTTTCCAGAGTTTGCTCCAGTTCATGCTAACCAAGTCACCAAAATATCCCTTCTCAAGTTAATTAATGTTTTTGTATTCCTTGATGAAATGGTTAAATAGCAAAGGGTTATACAAAATATTTGAGAAAAACGTTTTAGCCTTTCACTGACAATTTACATGTAAAGAAACAAGACATTAAAAAATCAGGTTGGAACGTGAATAACATATCATTTCCAGGGATTCTTAAACTTTCAAACTGATTAATTTCCTGACTCTTTATCTGCTAAAAAGCTTTTCCATAGAGTAGCTGTACATGTACTTTCCCCCCCTCTCACCCATATTCAGTGTTAAGACAGAACATACGTGAACTTGGTCAACACGATGCATAAAAAAGGACTCTCAGAGAAAGTAACAGCAGAGGAGCCCCAGCAATGGCATCTCCAGGTTCATGATACTAAACCAGCAGAGAGGAGATGAACTGAAATATAATTCCTAAATTACCAGTTAGAGAGGATACAAGAAGATAAGCGAAGGAACTAGTGCAATGACAGCACCTACCAAGATAGGAGGGGGCATCACTTTGGAGTACCTGGTGTGTGGGACACAACCAAGCAAGAAGATGAAATAATCTTTTCTGCTAAATGAGAAAAAAATCAACATGAAGTAATACAGCTTCAAATTGAATTTAATTGGAAAACAGCTTCTGAAATGGAAAATGTAGGATGCAACAGAACTGCTATGACTCTGAACCTTGGGATCTCTAAGCATCTACTGCACCAACTGCGGATAAAGAAAACCGATTCTAACACAACTAAAATTCACAATCTGCTACTGGAGATTCCTCAGAGCAGTGACTAACATCGGCATGATGGAAAACAGCCAGTGTCCATCTTTTTTCCACAACTTCTGGTGTACTGAATTTATCAGGGCATTGCATTTTAAAAAGTGGGGTTTGGTCATGATGAACACAAAATAAAAGTTGATTTTGACTTTCTTAAATATGGATGAATGCCCAAAATAAGTAAGTGGGAATGCAAAAAAACTAAGATACACATAATTCTTCACTGTTTAAAGGAGAAAGCAGGAACAAGCGTTTCAGTGAGTTAAGGAAAGAAAACATCAAAAATTTTAAAAACAAAGACAATTTTGTAACAAAAGGTATTTTTGTTGAGTCATTTCTATCCAGAGATTCCACAGGCCCGTACTAAGGAACACGTGAAACCTAAGAACACAGTCAGTGTCAGCTGGACTATTTCGATGCTTCAAGCTCCACCTCGAATCAGGGCCTAAGAACTATGGAGTCAAAAGTTATTTGCACTTTTGTATAGAAATGACACTGCTTTACACAGTGTTCTCTGTATCTTTAGGTACCTTAGTCCAAAATGAGAGAAACAATCTAGAAAGGGCATGTGGTATCATTTAAAGAAAATCACCTCTTCAATCTATTAAACATAATCTATGACACAGTATCTTGGATTACTTTTCTTTCAGTATTTCCTTTCAAATTGCAGAGGCTTTTGTGATGACACCTAGTACTGAAATAATGACAGTTTGCTTAAGAACTCTGGAGAAAAGAAAACCATGAAAATACCAGTATCAAAACAGCCCGCTGGCAAGAACATCCCCAACTGGAGCACGTCAGCTATGGGCACGCTCTGCAACCACCCCAGTTAGAAGTTATGCACTGTAGTCATCTGAAAGCATTAACAGGCAAAATAGCAGTGTCTACAACACCTAAACAAAGTCATGTTACGTAACTGAACAGGTGCAGCAGCGTGTGGGATAACTGAGGTCAGCTTACAGTACAATGTACAACTGCAACATTTAATTACAGAAGCACCACACTAAAATATAATACACAAAAGCAAACTGTTTCTGACATACACATAACAAGACTGAAAACACAGATCCGATGTTGAAGCCATCTAGTATTGCTCTAATTTGAATTAGAGTCACTGGAAAAGGTAAGAGGAAACCAGGATGCATTAACAGACTGAATACAAATGCAAAGTAACAACAGTCTTTTTATAAGAAACTCTGATCAGGCATATCTCAAATGCTGCCTGCCATTACCATGGTCCTTGTGCAGCACCTCAGCTGAGCAGAAAGTACCATGCCTTAAAGAGCCACCTGGCTAAGTCACTGAGAAATGCAAGGGTTTAAAAAAAGACTAAAGCACATCACTGCAGAAAAGAATCCAAAGTAACCTGAAAGGGAATGAAAATCAGATGCCTCAAACTATTCACACTACAGAAGGGCTAATAAACTCAAATGGTACAACTCGAAATGGAAACAGATGTTTAAGGCAGAAGTGTTTGTGTAAGAACAGTAAACAGAACAAATTGCTAAGCAAGGCCACAAGAGATAAAATAAAGCCCTGAAGGTTTGTTCAGCAAAGTGATTTAAATGTCCATAACTCTCCATGTTCTCATTAAAAAGACTTGAATAAAGTAGTGTTACTCATGTTCTGTGTTCCAGTTTAAATCGCCATCATTTCCCCTCCAACTCAAATCCCCTGTCTTTGGTGTAATCTCTACCAACAGACACAGAATACAGTTCTGGTTCTCACTGTAAAAAACAACTTGGAAAAAATAAATTACATGCTTCTCATGATAAAATCAAGATCCTGATCTGTTGCATGGTCCCATGATATGTTTAGCAGCCTCTGAATAGTAGTTTTAAGTTATTAATTATATCTGAAGCAGAATCATAATTTGCTGTTATCCCCCCAAATCACTTACTAGTTAACTAGTTTACTTTGGTAGATAAGCCATCTAATAGTCATGACACACTTGTGTTCAGTTCAAGAAGTAATGAAACCTAGACTCAGATAAGTTTGTAAATTCATATATAGACCGTAGCTTGTAAGTGTAACCATGATATGCAGAATTACCGCTTTTCCTGCACTGGAAGAAGCCATCGCATCTGTCATAAAACTAGACAAAACTATGAAACATGGTTGTCAGTTCATGATTAAAATAAAATAGTAAAGTAAATTAATTTTTAAACACTGTGTTAAATATATTCACATGATCACCATAGCTATACGAAATGGCCACTACTGCAATCACACACTATATGTACATAACATATATGCCACAACAGTTTGCAAGTGTTGAGCTTTCACAGACTAGCCAATTCTACCAGACATAAATAATCTTGTACCAATTTTTAGGCATTTTAAAAGGAATTAAATGTCCTAAATATATCTGTTCCTCTGCAAAATTAAAAAAAAAAAATCCTAAAAAGTCAGTGCAAATTGAACTTGTTCACCAAGATAGATTCTTATTAAGCTGAGGATAAACCAAGTTTAAGATATTAAAGTAAGAAACTCATAGAACTGCCAACTGCCTTTAGCAGAGGTTAAAGAAGATTAGGAATCACAAGTCCTGGATCCTATAGCAGAGCCTTCTGTGAGTAACTATGCTGTGGTTGTTGAGGTGGCGGAGGCTGTGGTTGTTGTGGAGGTGCTTGTTGACTGCCTGCTGCCTGTGGCAGTGGCGTAGATGCTAAGTTATAGTTTGGCACCTGCGACATACTAGTTCCAGCATTCTGATAAGCAGCAACATCAACAGCGGCAGGTGGTGGACTATACACTGAAGCCTGGTTAGAGTAAGTATTTCCAGCAACAGAGCCAACCATTGCACTGAAAAAAAAGGAAAACGTAAAGTTGAATTAACAAATAACTTATCGACAGAACAGCAACACTTCATTGCTTCTTCACCTGTGGTATATATGCACACAAACACCTCCTAACGCTGGACACCTTGCATATTTAAAACCAGAGCCAGTGAGTGTTGCAATTAAAACTCAGACACACTCCTCAGATTTAGACACACTTAACACACCTCCCATGGATTTAAAACCAGACTGTGAATCTGTACTTCACTTATTATAATGTGCAAAGTGGAACCCCATCTATCTTCCATTCTGCTCATGAAAAAAAAAACCCCACACAAAAAAAACCCAAAACACAAACCTAAACCCAACCAACCGTTTTAAACAGCAAAACAAGTCAGGTAAGGAATGCAGAAACTCACTTTATCAACAGATGTCTAACCACCCTAAAAAGTAACTTTGGGGGACAGAGACTAACAAATACTTAAATAACTCCAGACGGATGTCTCTCCCAACTTTATAAAGTAAGATTACTTTATACACAGAGTAAAAAAAACCCCAAAACAAAAAACACACTAATCTTTTCCTAAGGTCAATTCAAAACTTTTTCACAATACAGGTAGCTTAGCCAAAGCTAAGCATCTTTGGACATCCACCCAGAATAGGAAGCTGTATAAGCTTTAGTACGTATTCATAGCCCATTCCATTATAATCCAAAATGAGCAGAATTCTCCCCATGCTTCCACAACAGCATATTTGAAAAACAGAACAATACAATATATATTATCTCAGAAATTACAAAAGCCAACCAGAGCAGCAGATAATCATCATTAAATGTGTGTTAAGTTATTTAAAAAAACCGCAAAGCCCAACACCATCAGTCATGACTCTAGGATTTTCTCTAACTCTTATTTTACATAAAAGAAATATATACATATATAAGAAATATTTTTTTTCTTATAGAAAAAAATGTAAAAGCAACAGAAAAGTTTGAAGCTTGCCAAGAATATTTACCAAATGCATGACACCAATAAAAAGCATACTGGAAATAATTGCACTGAAGTATCTTTCAGCTCTGTTTACAATTACACTTCTGTAAGAAGAGAATATCAAATATTATCTGTATTCCTTTATGTTTTAAATTATTTTAAACTTGAAAATCTTTAAATTTACTTTGTGTAAGACGCCTGTGCAGGCTGACCAGGCAGTACTGAGCTGGCAGATGGAGTAACTGTGCCTTGGCTGAGGGAAGGGAGCTGTTCAGGAGGAAGATTGTAGCCTTGAATATGGCCCATCTGTGCACTCCCTGCCACCAAATACGCATTACTCTGAGCTTGCCCCGGATAAACCTAGGAAGTTAAATAAAGGAACATTAAAAATAACATACAAGAAAATGTGGTATTTAATATCAGTGTAGAGCATGAAGACAGCCTCTCAAACCTCTTATTACAGATGTTCCAATAAAAAACAACCAGTTGCTTTCTATTAAGTGCTGCAGTATGAAAAAATGACCAGATTTTCCAAGGACACTATTTGCATTCCCAACCTCATGCTCCAGTACCAAAAAGGTCAAATAGTTTACTGGAAAACTTGTATTCCAAGTTTTATTTTAATGACTATTACTCATTCTAACTGACAGCTTCTACTCCTGAATGAAAATACCATAGGATTTAAATCATGTAACAAGTAGCAGTCCAAAGCAGAATACTTTTTGATGCCAAGATATCTTTCACTTAGTAGAATCATCAAAAGGGAAAGTAAAAAATTTATTATTTTTGTGTCATTAGTTAACCTATCACTTCATGTAACTGTTGAGACTGCCATTGTAAAATTGTTTGAGCAGGGCAGAAGGGAAAAAGTGTTCTTAAGAAAGCCTCAGTTGAAAATAAGGAGGTATTTTACAACTAAGAGAAAAGCTTGCTAGTAGATGCATCAAATGTATTCTAGATCAAGACCAAATTTCTAAACCCTATGCTTTAGTTCAATCATGAATTAATTTCTTCTAGTAATTTGTGTTAAGCCAACTATCAGGTCCCACGCACAACACTTAGGATTTACAGCCTTTCTATCTTAAGATCCGTGAATCTCAGATGACATTCACAGAAGACATCAATATTGCAAAAGCATTTTAGAAGGTAGAAAAGGCACAGGACCTCCTAACTTTTCAGAACTTTATACTGGCTCATCTTCACCCTAAAATCCAGTTTTTCCCTTTAAGAATCCCCAGAAACATGCACTGTTATGAATCATTAAAAATATTTAATAGGGTCACGACGTGACTGCTTATCACGTACAAATGGAAGACAATGTTCCTCTTAATGACACTGCAAAAACATACATCCTCTTCTTTAAAAGTCACTGAAAGAAAGTACATATTTGTAGGAAGCTAAAAGAACTAAATCTATATCAATGTCTCTACAACACTGTGTAGGTATTAATAAGCTGGCTTGAATTTTTTTTTTAGTCACTCAAAAAGCAAGTACATTATTGAAAGTACAGTTTGAAATGTTACATATTCCTATAAACAAGAAAAGAATACAGCAAGTGTGCATTAGACTATAGCATCAACCATTTAAATCTTTAAAAGACCTTTAAAACATACTGCAGTATATGAATAAGCCACAAGACCTACTCAGAGAGAACAGTCAATCACAAGTAAATGCTGCTATGGAAGAATTACAATTTTTAACTTCTATAATTTAAATGTTAAATGCTCTCTGCTGGTATTTCAATAAAAAAGAAACTCAAAGAAGAGATTGATTTTGGGGCAGAGAGGACATCATCTTAACCAGAAACTGTACTGCTTTGGTTCTTTACTTTATTTGATTCACTATGCAAAGCCCTGGCAGCTTTTATTTTTAGTTTTATGTGCGACTCAAAGCACAATATGGGCTTTTTCCTTAACCAGAAAGAACTGAATAGGAAGGAACTAAAAGTGTTAGGACCTGCAAAGGGAGAATATCCACAGCTTGCAGCTGAAAAACAATTTTTTTTTTTTTTTTTTTTTTTAATACTATGTTCAGAGAAAACACTGCTCTTTCATTTGAGATTCTCCCTGAGGGGACCAAGATGATTTTAACCGGGCATTAAGGTAACAAGATCAAAAAAAGAGGTTTCCAACTCAGGATGAAATGGGTGGGAACAGAGGGGCAGAAATAGGAAATAAATTATTCCTTGCAATCAGCATGCTCCACCACACTTTATACATCAGCCTATATTTATTTTAGTAATTTAGAGAAGTATACTGTAAAGAAAATATTTGAGCAAGTTTTGTAAAAAAGTTAGCTCATGTGAAAGACTGCTTATCACTAATAATTTATATGAAACCAATAATAGGTCAGTATGTACTCAGTAATTGATGGCTGTTAAAGGTTACATACGTACCTGTGAGCCAGAAACACCAGATGACTGCATATAATACTGTTGGTTTTGTAGTTTTGCATACATGGAATACATGGGGTCTTCATTCATCAGTTTGTTATACAAGGAAAGAGCCTCCATGGCTTTAACATTGAGCTCTGAAAGTTCTGAATGTTTCCTAGAAAATATATTTTACTGCTTATTCTACAATTTAGGTAAAGTTCAGTACAGAACAGACAATTTGTGAGGAGTGATGAGCACCATATTCTTACTGCCCGTGAAGTGATGCCTGACAAGCACCAGAATGACAAATGGCACAGTGCTATAAAATACTGTGTGATTGGGGAAAATACTACTACTGACACCCTTCAGACCTCCCCCCAGATGAAGAGCTACTAATAAATACATCTATTTTCTTTGCCAGTATTCACAAAATTAAGGTATCATTAAGTAACAACACGGGTATTTTTAAGAATGAAATCTCAATTTCAGTCAAAACATTTGACTTTTTTTACCTGTCTATATCTTCCAACTTTTCGTCTATGAGAGGTCCCATCTGGTGGCACATTGCTGGAATAGAAAAACATTAAAATGTATCACAGTAATATAGATTTCCATACCGCAAGTCAGAAAGCAGCTTTAAAAAAAATGATCAGAGAAATGTGTAGATGCTGGTCCAAAACGGTTTTTTCATCATTACTATAATCCATATGCCAAAAACATGATAGTTACAGAGGCAGTGTCATGGACAATTTAAGAATGAGATCCAGCTGAAGTTCTCCGTAGTGGTACAGTTCACAAAGTATATTTTTAGAAGAAAATAAAAATACAGAAAAAACAAAACACATTTAACATCCCAGGAGCGTAAAGTTGAAGCTATTTTGCATAACAAGGTTCAGGTGTATCTGAAAGGTGATCCCTGCTTCAAGGAAGAAGATTTGGCACTGCAATCTAGATCATGTGCTCAACTGACATTACTGCAAAAAGACTTTCTATGAAAACAACGAAAGGGAAAACAGGTTGCAACCATTCACATCATCTGCATGTCAAAGGCACTGTAAGTACACTGCTATCTCACTAGGATCCTAATTGGGGAAGGGGGCTTTGTCAAACCGCTAACATGTGCAAAAACCAACTCTAGAACTTAACAGGTGTAGAATGGAAAAGCATTTAAAAAAACCAAAAAATACACCCCCTGCCAACTTTCAGCAGAAGGGCACGGGGGTTCATGTAACTGCCAAGGAAACCACACTTAACTAACAGAAAGATGGAGTTTAACAAATGTAAACTAAACAGACAAGGAACGGAAAGGGGAAACTACAGTCTAACTCTAATCCAGAATGCAAAATATGCCCACTTATCCAAGAGATGAACTATTTACTCATCAAGAGATGTATTCGATCCCAAGAGTCACTCAATATTCAAAGTGAGAGATGAGAAAAAAAAAAGATTCAGGCATCAAAGATGACCTAAATGCATTATAAGCAGCTCTGAACACTGTCTACATTCCCAGTTTTCCCAAATTAGAGATGCAGAAGCTTCTGAAAGCCTCCGGGCTGTAACAGGTTAAAGGGTATCACCGATGGGTTCCTTGAAGGCAACTGCAGGTCAAAGAGGAGTGGTATCAAAGGCACCCACCTGCTCCCTTGAATCTGGGATCACTCTGGCAGGAACTCCAGGAGAAGATGTAAAACCTGGTGTAAGTTCTGCCTGTTTTTACACATAACACAAAGCGTGGTAAAAGGCAGGACAGGGATTGCTTAGGTGTCTGTAGGCTAACACGGTAACTGCGCTGCTGCCCCCCACCTAGGCTCCTGAAAGCGCTGGGGTGAGCTCTCCAATTTAAAGACATTTGTGACCAGACACCTGGCTGACAAAAGAAAATGAAGTGGGTTTTTTTGTCAGATGTCGATCAGCACCTGTCACCATGAGTAGGAACCCAAGATCCAACGCACATCCGTAACAAAATTCCCAGCATCTATGCTAAAAGAGGTAGCTACCCAAGGCCTACATGAGTGCAGAACAAGTACAGCCTTGAAGATGGCATTGTAGAACCCTATGTCCTATCTCAATCATCAACTTAAGCCTATGTTCTGTCTCCTAATGAGGAAGTTTATTTTCTTCTCCAAAGTCCCCTTCAAAAATTTTCGCTGCATCTATCAACCCAGATAGAATGGTCTGTAATGCCTGTTTGAAGAGGCAGTCTGAGTAATTTGAGTCTAAAGGACTAGTCTGATTTGTAGCACTCTAAGGTATTTGCTAACGTTGAAGTCCTACAGAAGTACATATGCAAGTGAAAAGCGTGCGATACCAACAGGTCTATTCTAAGCCTCAGTAGTATTTCTGCTTCCTCTCATAGAATCTTCCCCACATTCCTTTTGCAACTCATGCTGTGCCACTCCATGGGGAAAAAAAAAAAACTGACGAATAAGACTGAATTAAGTGTTTCTGGGTTTTGAAAAGGAAAAGAAGATGGAATATAAATTTCCTTGAGAGTGGAGCAGGCTTGTTTTAAGTTAAAATTTTGCACTTCGGTCTCTTCAATGTGGGAAATGAGAAGTGAGAAGATAATTACAGCTGAGACGCCGTTCTCAGGCCTGCTTGTGGTATGCACATGAAGCTGAAGTGGCTTCAGCTTGGTTTCAATTTGTTTTGATATAGGTCATTACTAGAGAGGAAAACAACCACCAAAAAAGACAAAACAAACTCACCAAAAAATCCAAACAACAGCAACACACACAAAAAAAAAAAAGACGCCCCCAGGAGATGATCTTACCCTCAAGATGAAGCAATTCCGGGAGGTCCGGCTGGTCATCAGATGGATCCGCACTCTGCAACATCTGCAAGAGTTGATCCATTTTATCCTAGAACACAGATTGTGGAATTAGTGCATATGTGGGGGGCAAATTAACACTTTCAAGACAGTAAATTTAAGCAGCTATTTAAAACAGCCATTTGGATCTCTTGGGACTTGAAAATCATCTGGACTAACTTAAGAACATACAACTCATACATGCTACTTTACAGGAATGAAGATGCCTGAACAAAAAAAAGCCAAATGGTAAGAATTATCAGCAGTAACAAGTGGAATGTGCAGAATGCCCCTTTATTCCTGCAAGTCCTTCTAAACAGTGTTTTCTGAGCAGTTTGGGTTTTTCCATTCTTGTTATTACACATGCAATACTACCCCCTAGTGGGATTAGTGCAAATGTTGTGACAGAGTAAGTTGAGAGAGTACCTGAAAAAGAAACAGGTACTTTGAACAAAATTCACTGAAAAACTATCCCGCATTTTCAAGGTGTAAGAGGCCTGTCAGCACTATGTTATCACTAATATTTACAAAAGGGGTTTTTTAAGATGATGTTTATAGGGGTTACACAGCTGAGTAACGGGTTAAGTGCAACCCCTTTATAAGAACACAAAAGGGTGGAAAATTTAACAGGCATAAACTTTGAAAACTGCATCTTGGAGTGAACTATATTGCTTAAGCAAACATTGTATGTAAATGATTAAAAACGACTTCTCAGCCGAGTGCTATCAAATAAATAGCCTTTAACGGGTCAGTTATGTAGGTTGGATCAAAGCGGAAACTAAAACCATGTTTTTTCTTCCTTAGCCCTGGAAAAGCAGGAAGACGACAAATGGACTACTTCCTTAAAAATGATACTATGATGATTTTAAAAACTAAACAAGACACTAAAACATAAACTAATGCCGAATAGCAGAACACAAAAGCTGGAAGGCACCTCAAGGCAGGCCTGAGATAAGCTAGTTCAGCAGATTACACACTAATATATATCACTTGGGAGGAAGAGTATTGGAGGCAGGACTTAAACAGGTCTTTAGGAAGGCAGTAACTGATTTTTCATTTCAAAACATGACAGAATCCTAGTTGAGAAAGAAATGGAAGGTCATGGGAGAGAAAGAAAAAATTCTGAAGAGAACAGCTTTACACCCCCGGGAGAGGGAAAAAAAAAAAAAAAAAAGGGCAGGGAAAACCACCCTTGGCTGAAAGTTCCTGGGAACCTTGCAGAATCACTGCAGTGAGATTTGCACAATCTCACTGAGTATTACTTACAGAGCAACACAAAGCTCACAGTTCACAGAGAAGGAGAGAGATCTTCCACACTGGGCGAGGACAGTGGTGGTTATACTGGAAATAAATCTAAGCCAGCCTTCAAGGGTATCTCTGAGCTATCCTGAAGTGCTTAAAACTTGAAAGCAAATGTGTCACTCTAATAAAGCTTCCAGTCTGGAGGTGAACAGCTGCACAATCCTGAAGTAGGCCTCTAAATAGAATGCAGTTTCCAAATTCAGTTTCAGAAATTCCCAAGAACTTCAAGACACAGGAAAAAAATTAGAATACTGCAGATAGTTTTTTCTTTTTTAATTAAATCAACTTGCCCTTCACATTCTCTTTTGATGACATCCTCCTGACATTTCAAATTGGTTTTGAGGTACAGGATGAAAGCGTTAAACAATATTGAAATGTACCAGCAGTTGAAAATCAGTACTTGTATCATGCTTACTTCATCAATATAAACGGGTTCAGGCTCTGGTTCTATTGTCTCTACTTGAACTTCATCACTGAATTGTACTGTTTTCTTCTCAGTTTTCACTGCAAGATAAACAGAGTCATTTTATTTTATAAAATAAAAAGAAACAAAACAATGACATGTTATACAGCTAACATGTTGCCCAAGTTCTCTGCACTTGAAACATCTACTGTTAAAGTTTAAAAAAAAAAAAAAACTGTTTTGTTGACTTTTCAAGGCCAAAAACATCTCCTCAGACTTAAACAACTGCCTAAAAATACATCAGATCACACAAGGTCAGCAGAAACATGTTTTAGGAAGTAAATGTCTTTATCGCAGATTACTCGCACGTAACATACTTATTAATAAGTTGCCAGAAAACGACTAAGATAGCATGATCGGAAGAAAAAAAAAGGGCTAATGAGTCAGATTTAAGAGAAAACTGGTAAAATCATCTATGACAAACTGGAGCCTTCTTTCCTCCTGAGCAATGTATAGAATCAAAAGTTCTCAAATTTTGGTATTCCTTCTTTATCAAACTACCTGCAAAAGCATCTCATGCCTCTGTAGTGGAGGCCACAACACAAAAGCTGCCAAATACTACTCGTATCAGTTAGTCTTAACATAGAACAGACGAGTCCTACAGCATGTAGTTCTGATGACCTGCTCTACCTTTGGCACATTCACACTGAGATCATAGGAGATTCATCTTGCAAACAGATTTACAGCAATCAGTTCTAGCATCTTAAAACCTTGTCTAATATTTAATATTTTAAAAAATATTTAGAGTAGGTTAGACTGATGTAAATAGATACAAGATAACCAGTAAGCAGAAAAAAAAAAATCCTTCCATTGTGTACACATACAAACCCACAGTACATAAGTTTCTTGAACTGTCTGACTAGTGGCAGTCTGGCCAGCGGCCTTCAGTTGTTCCTTCATTAGGTCCGTGCCATTGCAACCAGGCAAAAAGGCAGTTTGGAAAAAAACTGTTGTCGCCTACACTTATCTAGGAGTCAGTGGTGGTATTAAGTGAGTCTCAAGGAAGCTACTGACAAAGTCAGCAGTGGACAGCATCATGTGTTTCAGCAGATGCCATCTCGAGCGACCTTGCTCTGATACACAGAGATAGGGCTGTTGTTTCCGAGAGCACAGCCACGGCTCCTCAGTTTTACTTCAAGTATCACATGAACTTGCAACTTACCTCTATCATAAGG